CTAGCAGGGCACTGAGAAATGGGAGAGAGTGACATCTCCCATCCTACCTTCCCAGACCAAGCAAGGCTCTCTCATGATCAAGAACTCATGATTTACAAAAAGATATAAAGTACACAACAATTTGAATGAATTATCCAGTGGCAATCAATGACTTTACCATAGTCACTGGAAGTCTCTATTGTCTTAATGCACACATATATGACAATTCTTCTCAATGCTGTCAGTAGATCTTTTAGTTTATGCTCGTTCTACTGATGTGTATTGTTAGCTAGCTGTACATAGCCACATCTTGGTAAATGTCTCTGGCCTTGTCACTGCAGCCCTTAAAAAGCATTTGTAGTATTTCAGCATTTATCTTGAAGAAAATCTTGTTTTTCTAAAGTCTTAAATCTTATAGAATCTTTAGAACTAGCACTGGAATCAGCCAGCTACATTTGAACTATGCGTTAATATTTTGGATATGTTTAGCTTCAACACTCTTCTTTGCAGGGCCGGAGTAGGATTAGTTTTCAGATCAGGAGTTACATGATGCAGACCATCCCACCCCAGACTCTAACTGCATTGCCTTCACGCAAAATAACTGTAAAATCCTCATTTATTTTTCTTGTTTATTATTGATATGCTACACTGAGATAGCCAAGGTGGCTACCCAGTGATAAAATGAAAACTGGCGAAAGCTTTTATCTTACATGTGACATAATCATGACAATCAAGCTTTTTTATCCCTGTCTTTTCTGCGACACCTTGTTTTTTTCTTTTTGTTTTGTTTTCTTGCTAAAAAAGTCTCTAAAACAATTGGAAAAATGTCTCAAGGCAGATATTAGCTTCTTATTCGAATTTCCATTCTCCCTTAAAAAGTGCAGTTACACACTAGCACCCGTACAGTCGTCCGAATGTTACTACTACATCCTTTAACCCCTTAAAATCCCAGGCTTATTGCATACTAAGGCTTACAATTCTTAACTACATGGACTTCAATGCAAACTGGCTGAGCTATTTTTAGGCTATAGATATATAGTTATAATAAAACTTTGGGCCTGCTGGTGGGCCCTGGCTATGTATGGGGTTGAGGTTGAATAGGAAATGAGAATAAGACACTAACTTTAGCTTCATCTACTGTACAAGACTCAGTTATAATGCCTCTGTTTACAATCAGCAAATTGGGGCTGTGCCATTTGAGATGGGTGCTGCTGGTTTGACCCCTAAATTGCTACAGATGTAAACTTGGATGTAACATTTATAGTTTGTCTAAGCATTCTTGTGCTTATATGCATGAGTTTATATATTAGCTCACATTAACAGGCCTAAAATGTTACCAGCCCACCAGGAATTCACCCAACTTTCCTGATTACCCACTCTGGCACTGCTTCCTTGGTTTGAAGAGCAGGTTTTAAATAATGATTTCTTTTCCAAACTATTGTTAAAAGCACATATTGAAACAACTTTGGCCCAAAGGTAGCCCAAAGATTTGAGTTATGACACCACAACAAGAAGATAAAATGTGTGGCCTTTGGCACTATCCACAATAAATGACTTTTGTCTGCTGTTTTGTAGATTTTGCAAAGAAAACTGGGAAGATTTTTGGTAGTTTGATATTCAAAAGTGAAAAAAAAGATCATTTAATAGATGTCCCCAAACTTTTGGCAGGCAGTGTATACACTAAAGTAACACCAATACCTCAAAAGAACTTTCTTCAGGTTTCAGCTTGCAGAACTCGCTAGAGTTTCTTGAATCCACTTTTTGTAATTAAACCTTCAGGGTTGGCTTTCTCGAGTGGAAATGAACATCTGGCACAAAACTGAACTTCATCCATTAATGGTTAACAGACATTGCTTGGTGACGTTTATGTCAATACTGCTGAATATACAGCGAAAGCTGCTGTTTATGGCAGATAGGAGATATGGCTGCCGTCCAGGATTAGAGACTGTGTTCTGCACGTTGGTCCATTATGTTTCTGTAGCTGCCATGCCATTCATTTGAATCTGCGCTTCTATCATCCTCGGGCCAGCACAGTGTTCTGGGAACCCCACCAAGAGCAACTCTGAAACGCCGGCCCCTCATACAGCCTGCTGCTGACACACCGCAAAAACACAAAAAACCCCTACAAGTTTGATGGAAGTCACATCCTGTTCCAGCTGTCATGACATCTGGAGACGTTGCAACCTCACCCTGGAATCGTATAGAGGGAAGTCTGATTGGTCGCTGGGGAAAACTCTCTGGAACTTTCCCTCTGAGTGACGGAACAGTCTGAAGCTGAAAGCATCTTAATTACTTGGGTTTTTTGTCTCTTCCTTTCAAATGTTACTTTACTTTTTATATGACGTTTACTCTGTCGCAGGTAAGAGAATCTTCTCGGATTTTCAGAGATCAAACAGTGAAAGGTCAGCAAACTGACTGCATGTGTATTTTCTTGATCATTTAAATGAAAAATGGAAAATAGAGAACAACTCTAAAGTGCCATTTTTCTTTTTTCCAGAATATTTTATGGTGTGTAGAGGAGCACACCAAAGAATGTATGTTTATAAGGTTTATTCAGTATTTCAATATTTTAATTTTTAGAGTGGAACCAATCAAAAGTATTTCCAAAATATGCTACAATTATCTACAGTGGTGCTTAAAAGTTTGTGAATCCTTTAGAATCTTCTTTATTTCTGACCTAAAACATCAGATTTCCACACAAGTCCTAATAGTACATAAAGAGAACCAAATTAAACAACAATATTAGACTTAGTCATTTATTTATTGAAGAAATTGTACAATACACTCTCAGAAATAAAGGTAGTAAACTGTCACTGGGGCAGTACCCCTTGTTTGTACCTTGATGAACAAAAAATGTACCTGTACAGAACCTTTAATTCTAACAGTGTATAACATATATATGAGTGGGAAACTAATCTTTAGGATTAGCAGATGATTTGAAGCTGAAATTAGATTCAGGTGTTTTCAGTCAATGGGATGGTGATCAGGTGTGAGTGACCACTCTGTTTTATTTAAAGAACAGGGATCTATCACGGTCTGATCTTCACAACACAAGTTTGTGAAAGTGTATTATGGCATGGACAAAGGAGATTTCTGAGGACCTCAGAAAAACAGTTGTGGATGCACAGTTATTGCTACACAAGGGGGTCACACCAGACACTGAAAGCAAAGGTTCACAAACTTTTGCCACTCACAGATACGTATAGATCATGTCCTTCAATAAATAAATGAACAAGTCTAATGTTTTTGTCTTATTCGTTTACTTTGGTTCTCTGTCTACTGATGCAGTTTTAGGTCAAATTTATGCAGAAATATAGAAAATATAGAAATTCTAAAGGGTTCACAAGGTTTCAAGCACCACTGTGTTTATAGTAATTTCTTGTCAACTTAGGATGTATTTGACCAGTGCATCCAAAGTTGCATTTGTACCTTGTACTTTATCAACCTCTGACAAGGCAAAACCAAAGAAAACATCCCATCAACTCGGAATTCCCACTCAGAATGTCAGGAAGGAGTTCTCAACTCTGGATTTAGATGTAGACATCATAGCAACATGACAGCTCACACTGTGAGAAGTAATAAAGCACCGTTTTGCTAGTTTTAAATGAAATTTGCTTTAGATCAACTAACATACAAACACAGTAGCTGGTTATTTGTTGACCATAAAGTTCACTATTTTGAGAAGGCAAATATATCACGAACTACAGTTATCACTCATATCCTAGCTTGTTAGCTTAATGCTTAGCTGCAAACAACACGTTCATGGAGGCATGTTTTGCTCCCATTTTGTAGCTCTAAAGCGCAAAGTTTGAAACTAATGTACATTCAAATTTTGAACATTCCTGGTAAAAGTGCATTATGTTGATTTTCTAAGTGAAAATAAATTTACAGAAAACTAGAGAGAAAACACTTAGATATGGCTTTTTTTCTGTGCAATTTGTGTTTGCTTTTTTAGTTTTACACATTGGAAACAAAATAAAACTTAAAATATGAGATGTGCAATAACTGTATTTTCACTTAGAAAATCAACAAAACATGTAATTTGATCAGAGGAACTTGCATACGACTGTAATTCCAGAGCTCCTTCCTCCACATTAAATCAAACACAGCCTTATCTGCCTCAGGGTATGATCATCCTTTTTCAAAGTATAGGCATCCTGTTTGTTAATTTTGTTATAACTCAGTTATTGTCAGTGGTGGACAGTAACGAAGTAAATGTAACTCATTACTGTACTTAAGTAGTTTTTTTGTGTATCTGTACTTTACTCAAGTTTTTCCATTTTGGGCGACTTTTTACTTTCACTCCACTACATTTCAAAGTCAAATATCTTGCTTTTTACTCCACTACATTATGCGAAATCTGTCGTTCCTTTTGGCTTATGTGTGTATAAATATGTAACGTCAAAACGAAGGACGAGCGAAGCAAGAGCACCAATCAGGGTACAGCGCGCACATAGTTTTGAGCTTGTTTTGACCTGTTAACCCTAACCCTAGACATACCTACCCAGTGCAAGTATACGGTTCAACATCAGTGCAGCAGCGTAAAAGTTTGGGAGTGCCTATATCAAGATAAATGATGGAACTAACCTAACTTGAAACCTAAATCTTAAGCTGAAACGTTGCTTGTTTACAAAAAGTTATTTCATAGCCACTTGGTTCTACCTAATGGAAAGTGTTTGCATTCAATTTTGTGCTTATGATAATGTCAGACTAATTAATGACATTCTATTAAAAGATTGTTTTACCAAGAGTGACACTGGAGTATTTTCACCTAAAATGAGTTAATGAAGCAAGAGTCTTGTTACAAAAATGATAATAGGACATTAAAGTCACAATTAATCTTTTAGTACTTTTACTTTCAATACTTAAGTACATTTGAAGGCAAATACTTTTGTACTTTTACTTAAATGGAGGTCTAAAGGGACTTCTACTTTTTTACAACACTTTTACAGTGCTGTATAAACTATTCACTTCTGCTTTACAACTTCTCAGATTCTGCGAATCATTTAAAATGTACTCACCCCGCCATTACGATAAAGAAATCCAGCCTGTTCCAGGTGTCGCCAAGGTAACAGCGTCGGCCAAAGATCCCAAGGGCCACCATCTTCACCACCATCTCCACAGCGAAGAAGATGTAAATCATTGCATCAAATGTCTGAGAGAAAGAGAAAGTTTATTTAAAGACGCTTTGCACAATCTCTGAAAAAGCAACTGTATAAGATAAGGAAAAAACATTTTTAATTTGAATGTGATGTAAAACTTTTTATGGCATTATATGAAATGATAAGAACATACCAATATTTATGATATGATATGACCATGACATTATTTTTCAGAAAAGAGAAAACAGACTTGTTACAATGTCAAACCCCTGTTTGCTACAATGTAGAAATATTTTTTAAAGGTCCGTAAAAGAACCTTATACAGTAATACAATATCCCTCGTACACATGCAATAAAAAAAAAAAACTTACATAAACAGTTTTTCCATCAGAGAAGAGCTATTAAACCATGTCAGGCACCATTCATGCATTCAAACGGTTCTTTAAGCTGTCACAAGTCTACAGTACTGAGACCACGCCCCTTTAATTTCATTTCCAGTCTAAACAATCATTAAGAATAAAATCCTTTTTCAGCATCAGGGGAAAGATAATATAATATCTTTTTGTCAGTATGATTTGTGTCTACTCTTTTACTTTATTATAGCTTTAATTCTTTTTAGAATACTTGTTTTCAGCTTTTCAAAGAAATCTGCAGGGATATTTTTCCACACCTCCAAAGCTCAGTTTTAGAAGTTGGTTGTACTTTCAGCTTCTTGCCATCCAAACACATTCAGTGATGTTGAGGTCTGTCCATTATTCTGAGAACACCAGAACATTTCCTAACGGCTTCTTAACAGCTACATATGTTTCGACTCATAGCTTTGAGTTGTCTTCTCGTAGTGAAAGGATGGACAGAAACTCAAAGATGAAAGTTTATATGCTGTTTATCTGATGGGGACAGTCTAGGTGGTCTACCAGGTTTTCCAGGTGGTTGCTAGGAGTCCCATTTTCTCTGTGTCTTTTAATCATTTTTTGAACTCTAGTTTCTAGTTTTCACAAATTTTCCATTGACGTTCTCTTTCCTTGTACAAGTATATTATCTGATATCTATCTTATCTCCTCAGAGATATCGCCTGAATAACTTACACTTATGGCTGCTTTGAATGGAAATTAAACTAATGAAGGGTGGTCTTTAACTTTTGCACAGTGCGGTATATGTACCCATCACTTTTACTAAAGAACCACTTTTTTAGGGATGCAGAGTAAAAATATGCTTGTTTCAAAACAGCAAACTGAGTAGGACTGAGCAGCTTCAATTAAAGGCCTCTTTCCTCCATCAGTCTTTTTTCCAAGTTATAATTCCCTCAGTAAATAGCAGCATATAGAAAGCTGGGGGGAAATAATAACAATAATTTGAAATGTAATCACAGATAAGCTTACATCAAAACATGACTTTCATCAAACACCTAATTAAACACAGCACACGGATCAAGAAGTCTCCGCCTTTACACGTGTTGTTTTGTAAATGGGATTATTTGTTCTTTCTAAAAAACGATTGGGGTTGTTCTTGTTCCACTTATGCACTCCATGGATCTGTGTATGTGTGTGTGTGTGTGTGTGTGTGTGTGTGTGTGTGTGTGTGTAAGAGAGAGAGAGAGGCAGAAGACTGCATCAATTGAATCTTAATGAAACTCAAACGTGACTGCAATATAGCTCTCATATCAGCATCTGAATGTGTGTTTAACATTTTTTTTCATTTATGTACTATTTATTACCTTCCTTTAATTGCCAAATCTGTCTGTGCGTGAAATTCTGAACCACCCACCCCCTCCCCCCGCCTCCTCTCCCTGGGGCACACACTGATTTAAAAGTAGCTATAGCTAATAGCTTCAGAGGGGGTAATCAACAGACTAAGCGACACAGCATTTCTCTGTGAAGGGCATTGATAGCTTATTAGTGAGAATTAGCTTCAGTGATTAGTTGAGAGTCAGGGTCCAGCAGTCAAAACAATAATAAGCTCAGGTCTCTAATGAGAGACGTTCATTGAAAAGGAACAAAATAAACACTCATAGGTCAAAATATTATGACTACTCATAAATGAAGTGAATAATGTTGATTATCTCGTAATGATGGCGTCTGTCAACGTCTGGGGTATATTAGGCGGTAAGTGAACAGTTGTTTTTTACCGTTGACCTGTTGGTTGCAGGAGAAATGGACAGGCATGAAGGCCTGAGTGGCTGTAACATGGGCTAAATCGTTAAGGCCAGATGCCTGGATTGGAGCATCTCCAAAACGACAAGGTTTATGGGAGGTTCCTGGTCAGCAGCAGTGAGTACCTGTGAACAGTGGTGTTGGGCGTCCAAGGCTCATCAATACTCAAGGGCAAACAAGGTTATCCTGTCTAATCTGAACCAACAGAAAGACAAGTCACAGAAATATTTGGTGATGGTTACCACCAGGCACCAGGACACACTGGGGAAAGATGACAAGCTCGTGGAGAGAGTGTGATGCTCTGGGTAATGTTCTGCTGGGAACATTACCCATTCATATGGACTTCAATTCAGCATATACTACCTTCCTAAACATTGTTGTCGACACCTCTTCATGGCAATGGTATTCCATTCCACTGAGGGCAGCAGTCTCTTTCAGCAGGAACATGTACTCTACCACGTTGAACACATTGTTTGGGAACATAACAAAGAGTTCAAGGTGTTCCCCAGGCCTCCAAATCAATCATGGCCTCAAGAATCAGTGGTATACACTGGAAAAACAAGTCCAATCTGAGGCAGCTCCACCTTGCAACTTATGGTCTTGGTCAGAGCTGTTTTGGTGGCACATGGAGGACCACCAGTATATTAAACAGATGGTCATAATGTTTTGGCTCATCTGTGTGTGTGTGTGTATATATATGTATATATATATATATATATATACAGTACTGTGCACAATTTAATTTCCAGTCAAAATGGTCATCATTAGAAAAAAAGAAAACAGAACATGATTAATATTTACTCAGACAACCAATAAATCTAGTTTAGCTTCCATTCTTCTCTGGAGACTCAATTTCTGTTTTTCAAAGAGGTCTGTATGAATATTTTTCACACTTCCAAAGTTCAGTCTTAGAAGTTGGTTGCATTTTCTGCTTCACACAATCCAAGGAACCCCAAGCATATCCAATGATGCTGAAGTCTGGACTCACGGGTGGTCAGTCCATTGTTATGAGAACACCAGCTGCTTCTTTGTTTAGTTTGTACATATATTATATTGTGTAGTGTGTTTTGAGTAAACATATTTGGTAATAGAGCATATGATGCAGTAGACAGACATTTAGAAACACATTTCTTTAAAAACTCAAATGAACTTCTGTCCCATTATAATCCCATTATAATATGAGTTTCTGCCTCAGTACATGCCCCAATAAATTGGGTGTAATGATGCCGAAAATATTCCACTGAATGCTCCGCGAAGTTTGTTTTACAGGCTTTGGGAAAGCAGTTCCATTCTGACTGATAATAAAACTGACATTCATAAAGTTTCACAGCTGTGCGCTGTGTGCATGTCAGGAGAGAGTGAGACATCTTCTTCCTGAGGGAACTCTTTCATGTCTGAGCAATGGCAGCGTATGTGTATGTTTAGGGATGATGTGTGTGCGCTCTGATTGCACACGGGCTTTGGCTGTGTCTGTGTGTGTGTAATTCTGATTGGGTACAGGTTGAAAGCAGCTTCAAAGCAAAAGTTGGCCCATCTCATTCTTAAATAATCAGTGAGGATGTACAGATATTTCTGTATGTGTGTGCTCATGAGGCAATCTGCAGAGTTAAAGCCATGCAAACATTGCTGAACTGGGGCATAGCCAAGGGGTGGCCAGAGGAGGCCAGTTCCTTAGGGAACCCTAGAGGCCTTCTAGGTCTTTCGAGAAATTTGAATTGAAAATTGATTTTTTATTAATAATCCTGCTTGTTTTAAGTCTTTAATTACTGTTGTTTTTATATATCTTTTTTCTTTCTTGTATCTTGGCAGATATAGCCAGGCTACCTCTCCCAATTATTAGGCCTTGAGGAGCTGAACTGAAGAGCCTATGTGTCAGATAAGTCACTAACATAATTAGGAATGTACAGTGAATTCAATTATAATTTGTTCCTCAAAGAGTGGGACCAATTTTGTGAAACAAAAATATCACTCTAGGCCTTCTGGAAGTTTTAGCTATATCACTGACTGTGAATACAAATGAATTTTAGTCAGAGGTAAAACAGTAGCAGCTCCATATCAGGACTCTATATGAGTAACTGTAAATTTGCTTCAAGGTAAATAATATGCTAATATTGTCTGTTACAGTCTTCAAATATTCTGCCTTTAATCTAGACTGGCCAAAAATGCTCTTGTGAATCACTATTAGCTTAGTGCTAATATACTGCTGAAATTACTGCTAAAAGAAATTGGCATTATTGTAAAGGTGGTTTTTGACCCATTTTGGCATTTATGGCCTGTCTAGTAGTCAGTGTTGGCCACTGCATCCCAGTTATGCAAGATGAAACAACCACTAGAACAAAGTTCTCCCACTCTCTGAGAACAGCTACATTTTTTGATGAAGATATGCCATCAGTGTACAGTTACCAATCAGTTAGAGTCTGACCTCTCTACACTCAATAATCAACACATTGCACTGTGATGGGCTACTTTGCCAAAAAAACAGGCAAACTTCAATGTTAGTCTTGTTAATTTCGCTGAAAGAACAACTATTGGTACAAGAAATGTGACAAGCAGTATTTTTCACACCACTTCAACACATATAGAAACTTCAGTTACAGAGTGATTATTGTATTATGAGTTGTATTATATGTATTATGAGTACATTAATCATTTTCCCAGTATACTTGCTCTTCAAAGCGCCTTTCCCTTCAGCACTTCTGATGTACAGTGAGTTACATGGTGTGAAACAGACTAACCAATGGTGAGATGTGTTACAGTTAGTAAACTGTGATTGTTTATGTAAGTCAGTTACATGCATGTGTTTAATATTCAATCTCAGGGAATTTCTGTGGACTAATATTAATGCTAATGCTTGGTTAGCTTCACTCAATAAAACATTTTTAATTAATTTACTTATATCTTTTTCTGCTTGTTCTGTAAGTGCGTGCATATATATATATATATATATATATATATATATATATATATATATATATATATATATATACAGATCAGGCATAACATTATGACCACCTCCTTTTTTCTCATTGTCCATTTTATCAGCTCCACTTACTATATAGGTGCACTGTGTAGTTCTACAGATACAGACTGTAGTCCATCTGTTTCTCTGCATACTTTGTTAGCTCCCTTTTACCCTGTTCTTCAGTGGTCAGGACCCCCATGGACCCTCCCAGAGCAGGTATTATTTAGGTGGTGGATCATCAAATCAGCAGTAACACTGATGTGGTTTTGGTGTGTTAGCAGTGTTTGTTGTGCTGGCCTGAGTGGATCAGACACAGCAGTGCTGCTGGAGTTTTTAAACACTGTGTCCACTCACTGTCCACTCTATTAGACACTCCTACCTTGTCAGTCCACCTTGTAGATGTAAAGTCAGAGACGATAGCTCATCTGCTCCTGCACAGTTTGTGTTGGTCATCCTCTAGTCGTTCATCAGTGGTCACAGGATGCTGCCCACAGGGCGCTGTTGGCTGGATATTTTTGGTTGGTGGACTATTCTCAGTCCAGCAGTGACACTGAGGTGTTCAAAAACTCCAGCAGCACTGTTAACACACCACCACCACATGTGCTGAGAATGATCCACCACCCAAATAGTACCTGCTCTGTGAGGGTCCATGGGGGTCCTGACCACTGAAGAACAAGGTAAAAGGGGGCTAACAAAGTATGCAGAGAAACAGATGGACTACAGTCTGTAATTGTAGAACTACAAAGTGCACCTATATAGTAAGTGGAGCTGATAAAATGGACAATGAGCGTAGAAACAAGGAGGTGGTCATAATGTTATATATGCAAATTCAAATTTTTGTTAGGAGAAAAAGTTAATACAGCTACATAAAATATTTTACTTGAGCACTGAAAAAACTGAATTGAAATGAAGTATGAATGTATAGAAGGCGTGGCATCAACACTGTTTTGCCTTTCAGTTTGATTACTTTCAGCAGTACTCATGTTCATGTATTCTATTATTTATTTGAAAATACATACAGATTAAACTGTACAGCATAAAGTAATGCATTGCTTTTTTATGTTACATTAATAATGTTGGCTTCAGAAACAGAGAGTTATTTATTGCTTTTTTATGTATTTATTTTTCCTAATAGTTTAACACCCCTAATAAAATCTCTGGGTCTAACTGGCCACCCCTTGGTAAAAGCTCTGTCTACTCCCCTGCTGCTGAAGTCCAAATCCCTATCACAGCGCACTAGAGGAGTCATTGTGATATCAGCCGAACCAGAAGGACCCAAGCTAGTTCTGGCCCTCTGCCAAATCCCTACAAGTCCACCACAGCCCTTTGTCTTCAAACAATGAGAGAAAAGTATACATACGGATTAGCAAAAGAGGTTACTGACAGGGGATCATTCCTGCCCAGGTTTGACTGTGACCTGCAGAGGAGAGGTGGCTTAGCAGAGCTGTGATTCTGTGTGGAGTGATAGACATCTGTACCCTGGAGTTTAACTGTGGAGATGTGGCTTCAGATAGTGAAGAGGACATGAAAGGAAAAACATTCTCAGGAGGGGTTTGTGAGAATGAATGTAAGAGATGTTGGGTTTTAGTCACATGGTGGGGACCAAAACTTTCCCGCTCTGTGGGGAGACAGAGAGGGAAAGTATGCTGCAACAAGGAAAAATTCCAAATGTCAACACAATGTCCGGACATTCTTAATGTCCTCCCAATAAAATAAAATTGCAAATGTCCATACTATTATGTAAAATTACATATGCCCTCATAACGCAGGAAAGTTTCAAATGCACACACGATGATACAGAATGACAAAAAGTTAGAATATTTGGAATGCTCCAATTTATTTCTGCAGCAATAAAAATAGCTGATGTCCCCACAATGTTGGAAAATTCTAAATGTGCTTACAACGCCTGAAAATTTGAAATGTCCCCGCAATGAAATAAAACTCCAGCTATCCCCACAATGATTAAATATTCTAAATGTCTTGGCCATAAAGGACAATATCAAATGGTCCCAGAAATATGGAAGATTGTAAGGATCCTTACAATGTAGGAGCATTCCAAATATTCCCACGACACTAGAAAATTCCAAATGTCCCAAAAATGGCATACAATTCCAAATACATTTTTAATCATCTCCACAATGATTAAATGTTGCAAATGTCCTCACAATAATGAAAAATTTTTAATGTTCCCACACTGATGAAAAATTTCCTAACAAGAATGGAAATTAAGGAAAATTTCAGTTATATTTAAAATTAAGGAAAATTCTACATCCCAAAATTATATAAAATTCTATATATAAAAAATAAAATATATATAAAACTTCCCCACAATGATGGAACACTTTAAATGTCCTCACAATGATAGAACATTTGACATGTCCTAACAATGATACAACATTCTAAATGTCCTCACAATGATGGAACCCTCCAAATGTCCTAACAATGATAAAACATTTGACAGGTCCCCACAATGATGGAACATTTCAAATGTCCTCACAATGATAGAACATTTGACAGGTCCCCACAATTATGGGACACTTTAAATGTCCTAACAATGACAGAACATTACAAATGTCCTCACAGTGATAGAACATTCTAAATGTCCCCACAATGATGGAATATTTCAAATGTCCTCACAATGATATAACATTTGACAGGTCCCCACAATTATGGAACATTTCAAATGTCCTCACAATGATAGAACATTTGAAATGCCCCCACCATGACAGAAAATGTAAATATATTTCAGTTTTGGGTAGGTATCTCTGAATAAAAATGCTTGAAATATTACACATTTTTTTTATATTTAAACAGTTAAAGAAGCCAAAAGATTTATTTTGGACATGGAGAAGCTGTTGAGACATTTAGTAGATTCTAATGAGAAAAAAAAAATGCTTAAAACTCTATATGTTTTATAACATATAATATATGTTATATTTTATATTTGAAATTCAAAAACATTGGGGTTGGATTTAGGTTTGGGCCTAGAAATATTTAGCTGTAATTATTTAAATTTTAGAAGGAAATGCATTATTACAGTAGTTTTACAGGTGTCTGTGTGTGTAAATGTTTGTCAAAGTGTGTGCATGTGTAATCAAGGACAAGCACTTATGAAGTAAATGGCACTGCGCTGAAGTGGCTGCATTATATAATGAGAGAAATATTGTCACAGTACTTAAATGAGCTGCTGAGTGAACACACTTGAAGCAGGAGAGAAAGAGAAAAAGAAAGAGAAATGAAGGCTTCCTCACCTGTAGGATCTGGCAGCGCTGCGAGGAGCAGTCGATGTTCTCGCAGGGTTGGTACATCCCCAGCGTCACGCAGTTCAGCAGAATCACCATCATGCTCACCCTCTCGAACCATGTGCGGCTCACAGTTAAGGCCAATTCACTTCAATTCAGGTCTGTTCAGTTCAGTTCATTTGACTGCATGCCATCTGAACCCATTTGCATTCATCTGACAAGTTCAGGTCCCACACACAACACACTCGTTCAGAGCTCTGCTGTTGAGAGATTACTGGAATAACAGTGGTGTTCTAGGCCGTGTGCAACTATTTTATCCTAGAAAGGGTTTTGAACACATGCTAATGTTTGTAATGGTGTGTTTTCATTGAATTTTGGTTGTGGACTTCAGACGTGAGTATTCAATGATCATGTTTCCAGAATCAGTATATGGTTTATTCCACCACAGCAGCCAACTACAAAAGTTGAGAAAAGCTGAACTCTTGAAAAAACATTCTGTTCATTGCTGCAGTATGTTGCCATTGTCACTGGTGGTGGCAGAACTTTCTATGACTGCTCCACCGAAAAATATGGAACACCAAGTTTGCCGTCATCCATCTACCATCATGATATGAATATAGTCTATAATTTTGTTTTTTTGTTGAATAACTTTAAAATTATTTGAGCTGGAATAACATGTTTTTTTTCTACAAGCAACATATACATCTCTGCTACAAAACTCTTGAACTTTGTTTCTAGCACCTACCATTCATATGCAATTCCACTGAAAATGACAGGAAGTGCATTAATTTCATTTCATTTCATTTACAATTGCAAAACAGTGCAATGTTACAATTATTAATTCAATATAATTGCTGTAGGCAACAAGATGGTGATTAAAGTCATATAATGTTGGATTTTGTGATTTACATGAAATAGCTCAGTAAAGGAAAATCACGTTTGTTAAAAGAAATGACTTACATGCCCTGAAAACACATTTTAGCACAGATCTCTTATACATCTTATATCTTAAGATGTATGTATGTTACCATTCTGTAAAGCTTATCCAATTTTGCAATGGTTGCTTAAAACCAATGCATTTGTGGGTGGAGGTCATTTAAAGCCAATTCAGTTCATTCAATAAAGCAATAAGTCACAACAGGCCATGCATTACTGCGATTTTACACAGTGCACTATGTAGGAGTTTAAATACTGCAGTATACAGAGTTCAGTTGTTGTGAAGTGGTCATAGTTGTGTATATATTGTGGATTTTACAACGGCTTTGAACGCAGATGATCCAATCAGACTTTAGGACCAGAACTATCCATTTTATAATCCACATTATATAATATATATTATATATAAAAACACTACCTACTTAGCAGAGTTATTAATGTCAGATCAGTTCTAAAGTGCAGCTGTGATACTAGTGGTCTCAATCTCACTTCTTTCTGTCTCTGAAGGAGTGATGTCTTGATCACTTTTGCTCCGTATAACTGCACAGCAAGTAGAGTGCAGATTCTCTCGAAACAGATGCTGAAAATAAATCTCAATTCCTCAAAATCAAATGAAAAAGTTTGCTCAGATTAGAGAAACTGTAGAGCTACAGATATGAAGGAAAGAGACTTAACGGCCCTCAGGGAACTGTAGACATCCAAAGTAGGCAGGGAGTGAAAATAGAAAGAAAAAACTGGTTAAAAGAGCTCAATCATTAATTCAGAGCTCAATTTGAAGTCAATGCTTAATTCTGCCGTTTATATAAGAAGGCTTATATGAGATGCCAACACAGAGATCCTTTCAGATGATACTATACGTGTTACTGCAGCTATAAGTAACAGTGCTGCAACCTCCAACGGGACATCATGTGGTTCTGCAAAGCTACACTGAGAAAGTACAATTCATGTAGTTTGAAGGCAGGAAAATCAAAGTGACAATGAGTAAAACGGAGACGGCAGCAGTGAAGAGAAATCACAGCTTTCTTTCTAGACAGGAACATGAACACAATCAGAATCCTCTGCCTGCTTTTTTAACAAGACAATGGAGCAAGAACACAGCAGGAAGAAGAGAACAGCTCGCCAATGAGATACCGGGGTAAAAAAGAGGTAAAAAGAACGAGAAAGGCAAGAGAGAAAGACGAGAGAGAGAGAGAGAGAGAGAGAAAAGCAAGAGAGAAAGGCAAGAGAGAGATAGAAAGAGAGAAAGGGTGATGGGAGAGAAGAAGGGAGAAAGGAGTCAAAATGATAGAGACAAGATGTGTATATAGAGAAAAAAAGAGAATGACAGAGAGAGAGACAAAAGAGAAGGAGTAGAGAGCGAGAGAGGGAATGCAACAGAGAAAGGCAAGAGAGAGAGGAGGAGAGGGGAGAGAAAAAGGGAGAAAGAAGAGGGGCAGAATAATAGAGGCAAGATGTATATATATATATATATATATATATATATATATACATATACATCTACATATATACATCTATATATATATATATATAGAGAGAGAGAGAGAGAGAGAGAGAGAATAGCATAGAGAGAGGGGGAGAAACAGAGTGAGGGGTGAGAGAGAGAGAGAAAGAAAAGAGAGAGGAAAGCAAATGAAGAAAGAGAGAAAAGAAAATGGAGAGAAAGAAATCAGAGAAAGAGACAGGGAAAAAAGAGAGAGAGAGAGAGAAAGAAAAAATACAGAGAGAGGCAAAGAGAGGAGGAGAGAGAGAGACAGAGAGAGAGAGAGAGAGAGAGAGAGAGAGAGAGAGAGAGAGAGAGAGAGAAAGAGAGAGAGAAAGCCGAATGAGAATGAGAAAAGAAAAAAGAGAGAAAGGGACAAAAAGGTAAAGAAGAGAGAGATAGAAAGAGAAAGACAAACGAGAGCGGAGAGAGGAAAAAAGAGACAGAGTGAGAGAGAGAGAAGAAAAAAGGAGTGAACGAGAGAAAAAGGAGAGAAAGATAAATAAGACAAAGAGGAAGAGACAAAGAGAAGCAAAACAGAGAACAGAAAGAGGCAAAAGAGAGTGAGAGCGAGAAAGAAAATGAGAAATAGAGGGAGAAAAGAGAAAAAAGATAAAGAAAAGAGAAACAGAAACAGAAAGACAAACAAGAGAGAAAAGAGAGAATGAGAGATGCAGCAATGCAGAGATGTAACAAGAGAAAGAGAGGGAAAAACAGACAAAGGGAGAGAGAGGTATGGAGACACAGGAAGAGAGAGAAAAGGAAAAAGAGATGGTACAGAAAGAGAAAGTGCATAAAAAATGACAATAACAAAGTAATGAATGAACTCTCGAAGAGAAACGAAACCATTCGGTGTCGTCACACTTTCATACACATCAACCTTTTCACAGACATGATCTCTCTTTTTCTTTCAGCGCTCTAAAACGAGCGAGGACAGAAGTCGGGAGTGAAAAAAAAACAAAAGAGGCAGTTGAAGGGAGAGAGAGGGGAGGAAGCGAGGAGTGTGACAGAGGGAATAAACACAGAGGAGGGAGCTGTACGGATGAGTGGAAGAAAAAAACACAGATGAAGAATTTAACAGGCCACGAGGCCGAATCATTCTCCCTGGATTATTCCAGAATGTTCTAATGTTTGTTTCCCTCAGCGGAGCCGGAGTCACAGCCGCGGGCCAAATAAACCAAGCAAATAACCCTCTATACACATGACTTATGGAATAGACTATATTCTATTCTTTCTGTGACTTTTCTCTTTCACGCTTTGTTCAAAAAGGCCACGGAGGCAAACACTGCCAGAGTGGAGAGGAAATGTGAGCTTTATTTCATCTGTCTGATGTTCATATCAGCGGTGGTCTGACAGGGAAGGCAAGGGGGGCTCAGCTATCTCAAAAATATGCTCAAAATCGCTTAACCTATGAGACCAATGTGATCTAAGTGCCTAAAAGTTTGTGGACATCTGCCTCTCCAACATTTCAAGAATACTATCGGGTAGTTTGCTGCAGTAACATCCTGTACTCTTCTGGGAAGGCTTTACACTAAATGCTGGAACATTGCTGTGAGGGTTTGATTGCGTTCAGCCACAAGAGCATTAGTGAGGTCAGGTACTGATGTTGGATGATCAGTTGTGGACACTCCAACTCATCCCAAAGGTACTGGATGATGCTCCATCACTCCAAAGAAAAACAGTTCCACTGCTCCATAGCCCAGTGCTGGGGAGCTTTATACCCCTTAAAGGAGAAATTCTACATAATGAAAAGGTTGAGATGTAAACAAAGTCATGCAGAGTGGTTTGGTGTGAAATGCTCTGCTCTAGAGAAACTTCAGAATTGTTCACAGTGGTGGTGATAGGAACCAGACATCTGAAGAGTTTAATGCCTCTAAAAGCTCACTCACAAAAAGTCATTACATAAAATGGTTAGATATATATTCTGACTGATGACTGACACACTGTTTTATGATAATTATGTGATAAGGTTTTGGCTTAAAATGTATATTAATCTATTTATTTCTGTTCATTCACAGCAGAGGGATACACGCAGGGCGTTGTAAGGAAAAAGAAAATTTTTATTTTTTTAGATTTATCACTATTTTACCATCATTAACATTATATATAAAGACTCAGAAGGCATGTGTATATTCACTGGTGGTTTTGGACAGTAAATAAAATGGCTGTACATGTGGCGTAGACATTGTGACGCCTGGTTCCCGTCACCACCACTGTAAAGAAATCAGAGTCTGTAAGTTTCTTAAAATTTCTCTATAGTGAACCATTTCTCAACAAACCACTCTGAATGGCTCAGCCACTCCATCTCTGTTCAGGATTCAGGCTAGCTAGCATCACTGCAACTATGGAATGTATGTTAAATAATGCAAGAGTATCTGTTATCTGGGTGGTCTTTGCACTAGGCAAAGGTAGGCAGCTGCCTAGGGTCCGCCTGAGCCAAGAAATGTGAATACATATTAAATATGGGTTGATGTTCTCTCTCCTAGCTAACTTAGCTTAGCTAATGAGATCCAAACACCCCAATGCAGGTTCGATTTGACTAACCGGTGTTCTGCTATCACAAGTATAGATGATAAAACTTATAACGGTGAGAGCAAAGTTGACTGATGGTGGAGGGACAGAAAGCCGAAATCAAACATATTCTGTAAGCTGTAGCCTGCAGGACAGGCTCGGTTCCAGCAAACTGATGATTA